TGAGACAGCTCTGAATCCCCCTCCTCACCCCAGCGTTTCAAAACGCTCAAATTAATTTCTCCCTTGAGTCCCCATCAGACTGTTTCGCCTCCTGGCCTCCTCCTCAGCGTGGTATAATAAAGGGGAGCTGGGGAATTATTTTTATTTGATAAATAACCTAACCATTATATGTGTTTCTTTTTTTATTTGAAGCCTCATTGAGTCTCCCTCTCCCACAAATATGAAAATTCAGAGAATGTGAAACGAGCCTCATTGTAATGTCAGTGAAACTGAGGACAAACTTTGCCATAAAAATGTAGCCTTTCCACTTAACAGGAGCCAGTGGTCTCCCTGTGTGGTTAGAGCCTGTGGTGATATAACAGACATTAGGACAGAGTCTGAGGACAGGGGGTGGGTGAAGGGAAAGTTTATGCTTTTTACAGCCAGTTAAACAGGGAGTTTGATAGCACTGACATGACACGGTACGGCACGAACGAAGCAGCCAATGAGAAGGAGTGTTTGTAAAGGTGATGCTTTTTTGTTTTTTTGGTTCCTGGGCTTTAACATCAGCTGCATCTGTTGTTTTTTTGGTTCCTGGGCTTTAACATTAGCTGCATCTGTTCCATCCACCCATCATCATCCATCCACCATCCATCCATCCATTCATCCATCATACATCCATCCATCCAGTCATCCATCGATCATACATCCATCCATCCAGCCATCATCTGCCGTGGCTCCATAAGGATCAAAAAAATGAACGACCCAAAGAGAATACTCTAAAAATGTCTCGTGACCACTGCTTTTGTCTTTGTTTATGTTCAGCAGTAATGCATTCATCAAGAATTCTCCTTTGTTTTCCCATTAAAGGTCATTGGAGATGATCGTTGGATTAGAGAGCAACAGCAAGATATTCACCGTTAGCGTTCACGGACTGCTGGAGCTACAGGTGAGCAACACACTGACCGACCGCAGCGACTGTGTTGGAGTAAGATCTGTGACTCAACTCTGGCTGTGTTTATTTCCCTCACAGACTGGACAGTACACCTCCATATTTGTGGATAACGCTGCTGGAGCTTCCATCACAATACAAAACGGCTCCGATTTCATGGGCATGCTGCTGGGTGTATAGCCTCTGGCTGGGAAACCGCCGCTGTCTGGGCTTTCCGCTGCTGGCGCCGTTAATTTTAATTTACACAAACTATTTACAAGTAGCATCACTCAGTATTCAACCACAGGGGACGTTTGAAGGAAGGAAGAGTGACATTGACTCGACTACTCGTCAAAAAGGTGAAGGACCCTGTGAAGACTAAAGGTTCCTACAGTGCACAACAACTCTCTCTCCCTTGATGAACTCGGTTGCCGGTCGCTAGAGCAAAAATATCCTTGTATTTCAAGCAACGAGTTTGTCTATTCCCCGATAGATAGATACGGTACTTCAAGTGTGGTAAATGTACATGTTCTACGTTCTCTACGTGGCCCGCAGAAGATGCAGAGAACATCAAAGAGTTTCTGAATAAATATAAAGTGACATATATGTAAACTGACATGTTATTTGTCCACACGGCTTCCTGTACACACACGGTTGGTAGTTTCTTGTTTTTTCTTATCCTACATTTAAATTATAAAATATTTAGACTCTGTGAGTACACTGGATGGTCAAAATATGCCTGAAACATATTTAGCTTACAGACCCGCCGGCTGAGTATGTGTGCTCACAAATACACAGTAGATAAACGATGCTGTTGTACACTGTTTGCTTTATGATGTTATGAGCAGATGATACGCTAAAAGAAATATTTTTTCTGGGGATTTCTATTGGAGGCTGTACTGTGTGGTTAGTTGTCCATGAGTACTGTCATTTTTAAATCAGATATAAGACGGAAAACTCAACTAAGGTTGAAAAAACGGAACCTTATGCAGTGAGTATCTAAACCATGCTTTTGGCCTTTGAATGTGCTCATAATATTAATACATGTACAATTCAACATGAACCCATTCTGAACAAGACAATAACCTACAGTAATGATATCATTAATGGTAACAAAACAAAATAAGAGTTGATTAAATGTCTTTTCTTTTCTATTCTTTTTTTAGTTCTCTTTTTCTAAAATAATAAATAGAGTTGATTAAATGTCTTTTCTTTTCTTTTTTTTTGTTCTCTTTTTCTAAAATAATAAAGAGCAGTATGTTTCATTGTATTTGTAATTATATTATGAGCACATTTAGGTTCAACAAGTGGTCCAACCAGGAGGAAATATCAGGTTACGTTGTATCACATGTGCTTAGCATCAATAGTTCTTTAATATTTTATCACCAATGTAAACAAATCCAGATACGACTCTGACTGTAAACTAGCTTTATGAATAATTCGGGGTAACATCACATTTGTTTGAAATGCCTTTTGATATGGTGTATGTTTTTTTTTTAAATTGTACTTATTTCTCCTGACATTGTAACTGTTTGTAATTTATCACAACCTATATACCACATGCATTGGAAGAGATGGCGTTTGTGATATATTTATCGTAAAGTGTACCAGGACGTTGATTTACTTTTCAAGGACTGTCGAAACCACAGATTATAAATAGATTCAAATAAATGTTTTCACTATTTTTGCTACTCAAAATATGATGTAATTTTCAATTAAACATTTAAAAAAAGAGTGCAATTTTTTTATCAGAATATGTGATATTTACTGACAAAAACTATGTTTAACTCCGGTGGCAGTAACCAAGCTCAGGGGCATGGACCATGAAGTGTCTCTAATGGGGCCATCGTAGCACCAATCTCCCCTTATATGTTTGGACATACCGGACATGTTATTAGTATCTTACATTACTTACATTACTTATTACATTTTAGCTTAGCTAGCTTAGCTAGTGTTAGCTTGATAGTTTACCGGAAACCCTGAGCCTAAATGGTGCCCAAACTTAGCTGTAACATTAACTTAAAATTAGCATAACTTGCCCTGAAATTACCTGCTAACGCTAAACTACAAAATTAGCTGTCTTTTGGACTACTACTTATTATTAACAAAACATATAAATAAATACATATTAAAATTAATTAATACTGCACATTACCACACTTGTCTGTAATTGATTCCTAAACATTTGAAAAACATTTGCTACTCCAGCATTGGAGTATTTTTTTCCCCGGGCTGACTGTTTTATTTGTCCATTTTCCAGATAATTTAAAACTAAATATCTTTGGCTCGTGAGCTGCCCGAGCTATTCACTTTATGGCTACTCTTCAATATGAATATGTGATATTACAAGGCTTTCAAAACAGGGTCTCAGACTTTATGGCACTAAGACTTGTTCTGCCAATAAAATTAGTTTGTTAGCAAGCAACGCTACGTGAATGCTTTATAATGGAGGCTACTCACTGAAGCGTTGCTAAAATGCCAAGTGTCACATACTGTGCCCAAGCACTAACCGCAAGAGCGTTGCACCAACGTGCTATTTCAACCACCCTGTGTAGCACCGCTCTCGCACACAGGACTGGGCTTCCTCCTTTAAAGTTGTCCCAACATTGAGAAAAGCAAACATGACATTTTTATTTAGCTCGCATTTTAGGTAACACCTCACACTCCTCCCAGAGGTTTACCGGTAACACGACGTGTTTGGTGAGTGACAAATGAAAATAGGGATCTTGGAGGGGGAAAAAAAAGACCTGGCTGAATCAATTGTGTACCTTAGCGTAGCTGCTGTGTTTGAAGCTTATTCATTTTTTTATTTATTTTTTTCATAAACCCTTAAGTCTTTCAACATGTTAAACTGTGCATGGATGAAAGATGGCACATGTTCGCATATAATGTTTGCCTTTTCATAGCTCAAGAAGCAGGAGAATGGCACATACTTGTGAGTTTTGATTGTCTTACTTTTTTTTTTTGTTTTTTTCAAAATGTGTTTAATGACAGCTATGTGAGCATGCTGTAACGCATTCACTGCCCTGCAGTGGAACACGGAGTCTGCCAAAGTGGTTGTGAAACCACCCTGCGCCGCGGCTCTGACAGGAATTTCCCATCACCCCATTATCAGCATCAGACAAGCTGAGTGATTGCAATTACATCTGCCCAAATGCAGAGAGAGCAACTGCTTTTTCTCCTCTCCTTCAGACACATGGGGAATTATGAAAGGCCCCATTGTGGCTCCCTTCTATGTATACCAACATAGTTGGACTGAGTAGTTTTAATAAGACCCAAATTATGAAACTGCTCAACCTTAGCTGCTGACTCACTTGGTAACAGCCTTAAGCAAACACTCATTTGTACAGTCATCTTCAAAACAAAGAGACAAACAAAATAGACGCGAATATGTTAGCACACACGCACGTCAACACAAATGTGATTTTAGCTAATGCAAAATACGTCGCTGAAGAATTTAGAAAATTTGTTACAATTTCATGTTAGAAATATAGACTGACACTCACATCATCTCCTGCTAATCCTGACAAAGGGCTCGTCTTCCATCACAATTCACCAAACTGGCAAACAAACATATGCACATTACCGCCACCTAGTGGACGATAAACTGACGGTAAACAACAAAATTAATATATCCAAGTTGCGGTCTCAGCGTGAGAGTTTGAAAATGGTATCAACATCGTTTGGAATACATGGTTATCATTTAATTTGCATTGATTTGCATAATTAATTAATGTACACAGCGATAAATGTGCACTTTTTAAATAAAGCAAATCTGCTGAATCAGATAAGTTGACCTCTTTTTATCAATCTTACCCAAGTGGCTGGGACCAGGTTATATCTGGGAAAAAGTAATTTTCAGAGAAACATGAAAACAGCTGGGAGTCGGGGAGGTGAGGGTGAGGACGAG